AAAAAAAAAAAAAAAAAAAAAGTAATAAAAATTAACAAATGTGTGTGTGCTTATTTGGAATATTTCGGCTCAGATGCCGCCAAGAAAAAGGTAAAACTAGCAATAGTCAATACAACGATACAAGGCATTTCTTATCATTGATGCGTCTACCAGTCTATTTTTACTTACTGCGAGCGAAAAGAGGGTGCAATTCACTGGTAAGTTGGTGCTTAAAGTGCCTGCTAAAAACTTATAATTTAGGGGCGAAATGTTCGAAATTTAAAAATTTTGGACTGGCATTGAATAGAGAAATGCTCGGAGATCTCCCACGCCCCACTTCAACACTCTCAATTCGGAGAAAGAATAGTTTTTGACGATTTTTTCCTCAAAAACCGGCGATTTGGTACACATTTTTAATTCTCAAAATGTCTGGGTAAATCCAAATTGAAATTTTCTTGAATGCAATTATGCGCCATGCGATTCCGCAAATTTCTGCATTTTTACTTTTTCGCTAGGACCTCTGGTTTAAAAGTTATAAGCATTTTTGTGTTCGGCGGTTGCTTGCTGTATGGTTCTGGTCGCCTGGTAGAAATCCAGGATTTTTGCACCAAATTGAAAGCAATTTTTCTGTGGCGTCGGCAGCGGCGGCGGCAGCGACGCTAGATATTTGCGTGGGGCGTTGCATACGCAAAGGGGCCAATTTAAAAAGCGGATGCGGGAGCGGCTCGGAAACAGGAACAGGGCACGGACCGGAAACCGGAACAGGTCGCCGACCGGAAACGGAAATACAATATCCTACTTCCGGTCTGAGCTCTAAACAGGAAGTCAGAAACCGGAACCGGAAGTGAGGCGCATTTCCGTTTCCTGTATTCCACTTCCGGTTTGGCCTCCAGGCCGGAAGTGGGATATTGCTTTTCCGCTTCCGGTCGGTGATCTGTTCCGGTTTCCGGCCCGTCCGGGTGCCCCGCTTCCGCCTCCCCAATTTGGCCCCTTTGCGTATGCAACGCAAATTTGTGGTGCCGCCGCAGTCGCCGCCGCTGCCGACGCCACAGAAAAATCACTTTCAATTTGGTGCAAAAATCCTGGATTTCTACCAGGCGACCAGAACCATGCAGCAAGCAACCGCCGAACACAAAAATGCTTATAACTTTTAAACCAGAGGTCCTAGCGAAAAAGTAAAAATGCAGAAATTTGCAGAAACGCATGGCGCATAATTGCATTCAAGAAAATTTCAATTTGGATTTACCCAAAAGTTTTGAGATGTAAAAATGTGTACCAAATCGCCGGTTTTTGAGGAAATTATGCGAAAAATCCATAATTTTTCTTAAATTAGTTTCAAAAGCTGGTGTTGGTATTTGCTCCGAGCAATTAAGCTTCAATTGGGTGCCTACATTTTTTCATAAAATCATTGCGTCAATGGAATTTTAATGTTTATTTGTTGCGTGCTTTAGTAGAATATATCTCGTGTACTACACCTTGTTCGGAATGGGTTTCGAACACAGAATGTTCCAGTAGGGCTTAGAGGTACTGAGTATACCGTTACTTTCCATTAACGGTACTTTTGTGAAAGATTTAGAGCTCTTTAGACATAAAAGCGATCTACTGTGTTTCAATGGAAAGAAGAATTTGATTTTGGTTTGTTTCATATCTTTATTTGCGTCAATATATTTGTTTGTATGTGCTTTCAAATAAATTACAACGTGGCTTATTGCTACTGTGTAAATATATATATTACATGCTTATATAGTACATATATGCAATCTCATTTGGTATTTTGTTGTAGTACATTTGCTCGGCTACATTGGCCGCTAAATACTTCTTTACGTTCACTTTAGCATTAATTTTCGGTTTTTAAATGTTTCTAGTGTGTACTTTTGTTGTTGTGAGTTGTACATGACTTCTTCCTGCACAATTTGGTTCTCCAGGAGATTAAATTTTATAAATTTTATAAATTTGAAGCATTTTAAAATCAATGATTTGCGGTCCTCCATAGAAATCGATAGTTTGGTGGTTCTAACGCCTTTGTGGCTGCGCTCTGATTCACCTCCACTAGCTAAAGCTAAGCTTCTTTGCTTTTTATCCGCTACTCGTCATTCTCCGGGCTCGTTCCTTCCGCAGCTCCCTGCACTTACACGCCCAGCTCGCGACTTGGTGTTGTTGTTGCCATTTGTCCGGTATGTGTGCCTGGTGGTGGTGGTGAGACCAAAGCGGGCATCAGCCGATTCAAGAGCGTGCGTATGGCGAACGTGACATCGTGATTGGCAAAGCAAAAGAGAAAGGAGACGACAAAGCCCTGCAGGCTCACCAATATCACGGAGAGTATTTGGTAGAAGCGTTCCAGTGGTGTGCCAGTGTCGGGGCGGTACGGGAGCAGTGAGTGTTGCAAGCCAAATAGCGGTATCTGCGAAAAGAGAGATGAAAATCAGAAAGAGAATCTAAGTTAGTTGATAAATAAGAGAAGCTGAAGCACAAAAGCCGTTTGCTGTGCCAATCTAAAGTACGAAACAGGATGAAGAGGAGAAGTAATGAAGAGTGCAATGAAATATACGAAAGGGAGCTGAAAGTTCCCTATAATATTAAAAATAGCAAATATTTAACTAATTTTCCCATTCTTCGGGAACTTTAGGTTCTGAGTTAATTCTAATAATTTCACCTAACCTCTACCTTCACTTTCACTTTTCCCTTCTCCCCACTTTTTTGCACAAGTTCTGTATGTAAATACGCTTACCAATATTATTGTAGCGCGCACTGCTTTCCTTATGGCCAGCGGTGCCGGCTGCGCCGACTGCGGATGCAACTTGCGCACAATGACGCGCAAAACATTGATGAGAAAAACTGGAAGAAAGAGATGTGGAAAACAGAAATACGATTTAGTTGTTGTATATTGTTGTTGTTGTTGTATAAAATAGATAAGGAGAATGATATGTACCGAAACTAGCCAAGAGCGATGCACAAATGGGCACAGACAGGATCCAAAGCAGCAGACTGTCGTCCATCCAGCAGCTGGAAAAGAAGAGCGTTAGTGAAGCAGACGAAACAGACGAAGCAGACGAAGCAAAGTGAAGCGGATGAGGAATGTGAGAAATGACTGCAACCATAGGAAAGTACGGAATGATTGAAGCACAATAGTATTAGAAGACAACGAAACACGAATGCAAAATTGCTTACAACTTCTAAATTATTGGCCTAAGAGACAATCCAAAATAATTGAAATTACGCACAGACAGGAAAATAAGACAGGAGACAGCAACTTTGTGTGGCCACTTGGCCTAGGCACGCGAATCTAGAAGTTTGGTTTTCTCTTTACAGGAGAAAGGGTCCCCCAAAGGTTCAGCAGAAAACAAAGGTAAGTGGAATCAATTAACGGCAATTGCTTACTGTGTATTATCGTCGGTGTGTAAAAACCTTGCCGCGCCATAAGCCATCAGCACAAGTATGGGTAACATCCAGGCGAAGAGCTTGAACCAACGCATCACAATGGTGTCCTTAACAAAGACCTGTGAAGAGCAGAAAAAAAGCAAATTATACTAATTTTCGAAATGCGAAATGAAATATTTTGTACCAAAAATTACATTAATTGTTTGGAGTGCGCTCAAAATAATAATAAAGCAAAATTCAGGTAAGATTTTCAATTAAATAATTTCAATTAAAATAATTGCAATGAATTTCAAGCCAAATATTCTAGGAAAGCATTTTGTCAAGCGCTTAGTTCAATAAAAGCCGCGACTTTTTCCGCTTTTTGAGCACAATTTAAAGTAGTTTCTGCTGTTTTCAATATTTTCTTTTATTTTTTTTTAATTTTTGCCAAAGTTTTATTGCCATAATTAGCGCATCTGCCGGGCGTGCTCATTAAAATGCACATTTACACAATTTCCATTTTTTTCCTTCGCTTCGCTCGCTAACTTTGCTTAGCAGTAAGCGCATCTGCTTTTTTTTGTATTCACCTCGCTTTGCATTTTTTATTGCGCAATTTTTGTTGGTTTGATTTTATTTGTGCTATTTTCATTCACTTGGCAACTACCGTGTTGACAGGCACTCAGTGCTAATCAAACTTTTCCACTTTCAACGTTGCATGCACAAAGGCGCGTGGCACTGATCCAGCGTGTGTGTGTGTGTGTGTTATTGTTTGTAAGCGCACTTCCTGCTTAATAAACAAGCGTAAACTTTGCCTTTTTCTGCGGAATAAATTTTTGTGCGAACAAGTGCGCGAACGGTGCATTGGTACCAACATTTATTGGCAATTTAAAATGCATGCAGGCGCTTTATGGAGAGCATGAGCGAGCGATTTCTTGCATGTTTCATTAAACACAGATGTATTGTAATGAATGGCGAAAGCTTTACCAAATGTGCCGAAATTAAAACATTTCTTAACGATAAAATCGATAATACATATGTATTATAGAAATCGATAATAATGTGTGATAATTTTTTTTAATTTCTCGATACATATTTTTAAAAAGTTAAAGATAAAACTTGAAAAATTTGTCGATAAAGATTTTGGAAAATATATCGATTACTTTTTCGATATGTGTTCAATTTTTTTTTATAAAAATCGATTGTATGTATTGCAAAAATCGATATTTTTCATCGATACAGCCTAATATGTTTGACCGAATCTTATTTTCCTAAAAATTTAAATATTTTTAAATAAAATCCATATCGTTAATGAACTATACACAATTTTGTATCGATAATTTTTGATAAACTTAAAATTAAGCTTCCCGCCGTTATCGTTTATAAACGTTATCGATATTTTTATCTTATTTCATATCGATATCGGATTTTTAAGAAAAAAAAACAATGATTGGTTCGGTTTTGCTGCAGATAATACTAAGAAAATTTAGTCTCTATTTCTATGTTCGATATATTATTTCGATTAATTATTAACAGACTAGTTTTAACCGATTAAATTTGAATTAATGGCTGTTAAGGGAACAAAGAATTTTCATTTCACAGTTAAAAATACGGATTTGGTTATCGACGAGTGCGATAGCTTTTTGTATTAATTTATCGATTAATGAATTTTAAAATTGTAACTAATACATTTTTTAATTTTTTTTTATGTAAAATCGCTTTACTACTCTTATAAAGTTGGCACCATTGGGCAGCCACTATATACATATGTATCTATATATGTAAATTTGTACATATTGTTATCGGTAAAATTCGAAAAAAAACTAATTCATAATTTTATACTAGAGTTTTATAACATGAATTTGGCAACTTGTGTCATTTTTCATTTATCGATATTTTAACATTATCTGAAACCCACAGCATTTTTTCACAAGGACCTGAAAGGTTTTTTTAATTTTGCAGGCGTTTTAATTTAAAGCTGCAAGCGATCAATTATCAGATTTTAAGTCAAAAAATTATTTAAAATTTGTCGATAAATTTATGGCTAGCGCTAACAACTTTTTATATATCTTATTATCAAATCGTAATAATTTCAACTTGTTCTGTATTATATATTATCATATATCTATGTTATCGATAACAGTTAATTTATTGATTTTTAATGAATGATGCATATTGAATTCGTAATACTTTCTAATTCTTTTGTATTACATTCATCGATATACTATGTAATTACGTATGCACGATTCATACTTAAGCCATAATAATTTTAAATTCATTTGTATTGAACTTATCGATAAATTATGTTCTCGATAATCAATGATTTCTTGATTTTAAAAACACGATGCATACTTCAACCACGATCATTTTAAATTGGCCCGTATTCAACTTATTGATAAATTATGTTATCGATAAGCAATGATTTATTTATCTTTAAAGCACGATGCCTACTGAAATCAAGAAAATTTCAAAATCTTCTGTACTACGTTTATTGAGAAATTGAGTTATTGATAGCCAATGATTTATATTTATCGATAAATTATGTTATCGATAACCAATTATTTATTGAATTTGAATGTAAGATTCATGGTGAAATCATTACAATTTCAAATTGTTCTGTATTATATTTATCGATAAATTATGTTATCGATAATCAATAATTTATTGATATTTAAAGCACGTTCCACACTAAAAATAATTTTTAAATGATTATGAGTTAAACTTGTTCTGTACTGCATTTATCGATAAATTGTGTTATTGATAATCAGTGATATATTCAGTTTCCATCTCATGCACACTTTACTGTAACATTTTCAATTTGTTTTAGTACTAGTTTTATCGATAAATTTTGTTATCGATATACTGTATTATCGATTTGAAGAGTTTTTAAGTTACAGTTATACATATCGAAAAAGGTATAAATAATAAATTTATAGGTATAAATATTAATTTCTATTTATTTGCACTTACCACCACTAACACCAAATGCAAATGCAGCCCTTCACAAAACATCCAAAAGTAATTGACCAGCATAAAATAGTGCACGACCAGGTGTAGAATTATGCACCAGGGCTACAAACAAGATTAAATTGAAATAATGTTAATTTATTATATTATAAGAGTATTAAATCGATTATATGCAAACGTGCATGCATACATATGTCTCTTTATTGTAGAGATTATTATGCAAGCAAATAAAGCGAAAACAAATATTATTTATGCCTAACCAAACATTGCTACTTACCGGATTATTGCCTATTAGATCCGGTTGTTCGACCACAAATTTATACCAGAGTATCCAGGCGATGCAAGTGAATGCCAGCGAGGCGAACAGGTGCACGTGTATGCGTATGCGTGTGCAGCGCAAGGATCTAACGGTTTATGCATAATAAATGCAAGGCAAATAAGAAGAAAAGAGTAGATTAGATAACTTAAAGTTATTAGAATTGTAAACGGCAGTGAAGTATGAATTGCCGTATGCTCTTAAAAYACACACACACATACACATAGAAAAAATACCGTTTGTGTGCTTGTAAATGCTTGAGGCATATAAATATTTAATACCTGTTGCATACTTACTTGAAGCCGAGGAATATGACGAGTGAGAGTAGTAATGCGATTAAGGAAACGATGTAGCCTTTCACGTACAGCTCGTTGACAAAACTGCGGAACTGTTGAGAGCAACGCCAGAAGAGCGCATGAAAGTGGACAAAATACAAATAAAATTTATGCTTGGCATAAAGTTGAGCAAACTTATTTTAGAAAGTGTTTGATATTTTTTTCTAAAATATTAACGATTTGGCACTTAAAATAATTGGAATTTCATAGACTGAATTTAAATTAAAGTTTTTACAACGCTACTCTTTATCGCGCTCTTTAATATGCACTCTCTTACCTGCAAGTCATCGTAATCAATGCAATTGGTGTAGTTGGACCATTCACGTCCGCTTACAGGATGATGATACCAGGTGCCGTTCTCCAGACAACTAAAATGGGGATAAAGTATAGCGATGACACAAAGTTATCGATTTTTAGAACTGTTTATGTGAAATAAATGGTGATTGATTATGATTGATTGGGAAAGAAAAAATTGAAAAAAAAATACATATGTGTGTAATATATAAAAACAAAAATTTTTAGCAGCAAAAGCTTCTTATATTGATGTTTTTGAAATCGATAAATAGGAATTTTGGACAAAAAACAGATATTTACATTAATTTTTACAAATTTAATATTTATATTAAAATTTTATTGCTTATTTTATGTAAATAAAAAATCGATACATTTTGTTATCGATAAACTTTTTAAAACAAGTCTATGTATGTATGTATGCATATTGATATTTGCCCAGCTAATACTTTATCATATTTGTCTATTGTTATATTTATATTTGAAATCGATAAACTTTATTATCAATATATTTTTTTGCAGACAAAGCAGACATTTATATTAATGTTTACCATGTTAATATGTTTATTAACATATTTAATTTTTGTTCTATACATATCGATAATTGATAAATTTTATTATCGATAAACTTTTTAAAACAAGCAGATATTTATATTAATTTTTGTTAAGTTAGAATGTGTATTATCATATTCATTATCTGTTGTACGCATATCGATAGTTGATAAATTTCGTTATCGATATATTTGTTTACAGAAAAAGTAGACATTAATATTAATTTTTGCCAGCTGAAAATTTTTATTAACATACGTATATTTTGTTTTATACATATCGCTAACCGATTACTTTTATTATCGATATATTTGTATGTAACTAAAAATGCGTATTTCGCATTACTGCTGGTTTTGTTTTAAAATGTTTCAAAATTTTTTCGAAAATTATTTTTATAACTAATGTGGGCGATGCATTTGTATCAACCAAAAGATTAACCAAATATTTGCTTGTGCAAATGCATCAACCAACGAGAGGAGCAAAGTGCCACAAAGCGCCACTACCTGCCGAGAAGCTGTGGCAATAGTCTCTGTTGATTTTCGTTTCTCAATTTTCAATTTTCGATTATTGCTTTGCACTCACGTTTTATGCGCCAGAAATTTGCGATTGAAGCCCTCCACAAAATCCGGACAATATTGACTGAGCACAGTGCCGGCGGGGGTGCGCGGCCAGCAGAGGTAGCCATCGAAGCGCAAAGGGCAAAAGCGCAGCGGCGGTGAGCCAGCAGCCGTGGGTGATGTGACCGGCGAAGAAGTTGCGGAAGAAATCGACGAAGTGCCATTTGCAGAAGCGTTGGCATTTGTTGTAGGTGTTGAAGTGACAATAATGTTGCTGATATATGGGTACGTCTCGTTTATGTTGCTCCCATTGTAGTTGCTCTGAAATGTACTGTTATTCTTGCTAGTGCGTGACGCTGCTGTTGTTGTTGTTGGCGGTGGTTTTAAGCTATGCTTGGAGATGTAGGCGAAGAGTTCATTTTGTTCCGCTTGCGCTTCGTCCACATTCGACAAGTCTATGCTGCCTTCGTTGAGCACGGCCTCTTCGAGGTAACGCGGCACGCCAATGTAGTTGGCTGCGTTAGTGTGCATGTGTGTTGGAGGTTGGAGAAAAATTTTGTTGAGAAAATGTGGGATGTGTGCTATAGAAGTTTTTTTTTTAGCAATGTACCGCAATTTAAGGAAATATGATTTTACTAATGAATGTGGTCCGACCATCTGTTTAGGCTTGCCCTTATTCTCATTATTCATCATTTGTAAAATAGTAAGTTTTACATTTTTGCTTACAGAACGCATCCAATATATACCGAGTGTGAATAGACCACTGACTAAAAAAAATAACATAAATGCGCCGTCAAGCAGGCAACGTTTGAAGATTAGCCGGTCAATCTTATAAAAAAAAGGCGAAAGTATGGACGAATTGATACAGGTTTTGGTATAAACTCATAATAAATCAGCGTTTTCAAAGTCCTTTTTGTACTAATCCAGAAAATCAGCTAAAAAATAGTCGTACATGTGCCAAAATGTAGGCAATGTTTTAAAAATTTAGAGAAAATAGGCGAAGGTATCGACCTATCTTTCTACATAATGTGGTTTGAAATAAACCGAGAAACATAAAATAAGTATATCAAAAAATAGACATATTTAATCCTACACACGTCGTCCTGATGATTTAATATGTATTTTTGCATATTTTATAAATAAAAATTAATTTTGACTTAAGCGGTTATTAAGACAAATTTGGCAAATTATTTAAAATTTACTTACCGTCATCGTCCGTATCATTGACTGCCGAGCCGGTCTCATTTTGATAGCGTACTATGCAATTGAGATAAAGATGTGAAAGGAATTCGCGCAAATATTGGTCATCGGCCTGAAATGGTTCGAAGAGAAAGGCCATTGTGTGGGCGTAGACGCCCTGACAACAGACAATGGGTATTTCGCCACACAAACTCACAGGAGCAAAACCGCTTTACTGCTGGAATGAAAAAGAGGGAGAGAGTGCGAATTAAAGAAAGCAGACCAATAAAGATAAAAAGTATTAAAATTTTATTGACAAAGCGAAAATAATGAATTTTATAGCGCGCTTATAGGCGCATTACGTTTAAATCAATTATTTGTGCTGCATATGTGTGTGTAAATGAATATGTAAGCAGGTCGTTTGCTTAAAAAGGCACGGCTGTGTTTGTCCTAGCACATCTCGCGCGCCTTGCCACCCTACGATCGGCTTCAATTGTTTTTCACTGAAGTGTAAAAGCGCTTTAAATGAACTGTCAGCAGCTGTTGTTACTTCTATCGCGCTTTACGCTTTGTAGTGGCAGCAAATTTCATGTGCAAAGTCAAAATTGATTGGAAACGAAAGAAAATGTGTATGTGTGTGTGTAACGACGCCGGAAAGATTTGTATGGCAGTTGTCGGCAGGGCAGGCTGCTAAAACCGGATGTTCTTAGTACATATGTGTGTAAGCGACCACATGCCGTTAGCACATATCGCTTTCAACGCTTGACCGGAAATGTGTTTTACTGCCAATTTGAGCCTTCATGTGGAGGAAATTGTTTCATGGCTTATTTTTCGCTTAATGAGAATGACGACACGGCATAAACTCTACACCTATGTAACGAACTGCGTTTGATTGAAGCGAAAAATTATTTCAAAATTTATAATAAGCGGTTTTGGCATACTTTATCGGTGACTTGATTCACGTTTGATTTCAGTTTGGTAAAATTAGTTCCAGTAAAGCCTTTCTGCAGGCGTTAAAACTATTTCTAATGACGCGGAAATGTTTATTTAATCACCTCTGAGAAACCATATTATGGTTGATAAGAATTATACAAACGAAGCATAGCTTTCAGCGTAGTGTAAAGTAAATGTAAGTTTTACAGCTTTATGAAAATTGCAAAAAAATTTCTGTGAAGAATTGAAAGTTCATAATATTTCAAAAGAGTAGAAATGTGATAATGTATTTTTTTTTTTTATTGAAGTAGAAAATTTAAGGAAGTATCAATAAATATTTCGGGTATAGATTTGGTTGGATTTTTTTTTTAATGTCAGGTTTAATAAAGAGGTCGGGTCAATACACTTAAAATTGCATATTACTGGCTTAACAATTCAGTATATATTAGCATCGCTTAAATTTGTTCAAAAAATGTTGCCAAATACGAATTGTGATCCTAAAAGTATGACACAGGTTACAATATTAAAAAAATAATTGCCTGGAGTTCATAAATACAAGCAACTGTAAGTCATTTGAATGAAAGTTAATCTACAAAATCTAACTACAACACCTCTCTGTGTGAATTATATACAAACATGCGAATTTCAGTCAGTCAGCAGCCAAAAAGTATGCTACAGTAGTAAAATATTTTCAATACTAAGCACTGCAGGCAATATTTTAAATTAATTTAAGCTGCTAAGCGCAATGCGCAGAACAAATACACAGCAAATTAAAAATAAACAAAAATTAATAAGTTGATATTGTTGAGAAATAATTTTTAGAAATTGTATATTTTCACATGTACAAAAATTATTGCATGTGATAGATTGCTGCATATGACACGCAGACGTTCTACAATAGCAAATAAAATAGTAAAAAAAATTGGTATGAATACCAAAAATAGTATACCGCATATAACTATTTCATGTAAGCGCCTGAAAGCATGCAATTTTTTTGTAATTAAATGAAACACAAAATGCAAATCGTTTGAATACTTATTTGTGCCATGAAAATATTATTACTCATTTTTAAATTATTTTGATAACATTAAAAAAATTGCGGAAGCCTATAAATATGCTTTACAGAAGCGAGTTGCAAACCTATCACAAATATTTATACAGTGTAGGTTAATTTATGGTAAGCAGTTAGCAAATAAAGTCTTGGTAAGTTAAACGAATTGCCTCAATTGTACTGTGCGCCGAAAAGTATGCTAATTTTTAGACAATTTATGCATCAATTATACTATAAATAGAGCTGGAGACACAGACAATTTTATTTCTTTGTCTAAAAAAGAATCAGTGTATATAAGTATTACTGCAGAGTAAAATAATACCATTATTGGTAGAACACCTGCCTAAAGTATGCTGCATACTACACTCGCCACCATAGAATGAGATATTCGTGTCTACTAAATGAATTTGTGAAGAAAGTTTTAACAAGCGTAGTGCAAAAATCAATTATATCACGAAATAAAAAAAAAACCCAAGAAGTATGCTACAAAAAATAATACACTGAAAATCGTTACTTTGTAGTGATGAAGTGGCGCATAAATACCGATACTGTGTATTCTATGACGATATTACCTTGATGGCGAAAGCGCCGATCAGTATGTTACATAGCAAAGCATGCTTGTACATTTACGTCAGCAGTAAGTGCAGCGTCAAGCTTTAATGAAGCACTCAAGTAAAAAAAAGTCCCACAAAAGCAGGAAAAAATTAAAACAAAGCAGGAAAAATCAAATATCACATACACGTGGCTAATTAATGTGATAGTAAAAACTGTGAATATAAGAAGCAACCGAGCAGTGGCAAAGAAGTGGCAAATAAATGAGCAACACAATTTCATTTACAATAATTGGATTGCATTTAATTGTATTATTGCTGGAAGGCAAACAAGTGGCGCACATCTAAGGCTGAGGCAGGCAAATAACAGCTAACGCCATTTTTTGTTGTAATTTAAGGAAAATATTATTACATATTAAAAGGAATATAATAAAATAGCAAGGCTAATGAAGTAAGAATAATAAAGTCAATAGCTAACTTGCTAAGACCAGAAATTATATAGACATATAAGCAATTATACTCAAACAAAATGAAAATCCGAAGCTATAATAGCCATCGCAAATAAAAAGGTTTTGACAAGAGTTTAAAAATATAGCATAGGTAGAACGCAAAGCAAAAATTCGAAACTTAAATAAAATAATGATAAAAAAATCTTAAAATTGTATATAAAAAAACAAAAAAATTAAATCTGACAGTATACCCAGTATGCGCTTTTCTGCTTTTAAGTCACCATAACCATTCAACGCCAGCTTCTTCTTCTATCTGAGTTGACACCACCGTAAGAGACAGCGCTTTTATTGTTGGCAGTTAGGTTACTCTAGAAGTCAACGCATAAGCTATACATTGTTGCTCACACACACACATACGCGCATTGTTTGCGGACACCCAGCACGAGCACTTAGCCGGTGCACCCGGGCRTATACGTTATATGTCTACCGTTACACAATTGATTGTAATAAACTTAACAAGCGAAAGCAGCAGCGAAACAGCAACAACTACAACGAGCAGCGGAAAAATGCTGGTCAGAATGTTAACATTAAAAACAAAAGATAGCAAAAACGCCGCAGCTAAGCTTTAGCAGGGCAAGTAGGCTTGTACAGGAATGAAGCTAGCTCATGCGTCATGGCACCCACTGTCTGCCTTTAGGCACAAAGCTATGAATGTATGTACATAGTATGTGTGCTTGCTAATGGGTGGCAGTTTGTGGTGGTGCAGTTGCTGAAAAAAAGCATAATTAAATTTAATGTCACAAGTGGGTGCTACCGTGAGGAAGAAGTACCAGCGGCAGTTAGATAGTAGACCAGATTGCGGACCATTTTTATTGTCTTCGAAATGAAAGCGGCGCTGCTGCGCTTTTCTATGTTCTTTCTCTTTTTTCACATATGAATGCGTTATGTGTGTATAAGTAGCCGCATTCTAATCTTTTTTATAAAAAAAAAATCTCAAAATATAGCGAATTTCTGCACCAACTTTTCCGACTTTAATTGAAATGAAGCTTAAAACTCACCATTCCAACACTATATGGTATGACACAATGTGATTGGTAGCACTGGAGATATACGGCTGCAGCGACATCTAATGACAAAATACGAAAAGACTTTTTCGACTAACCAATATATCGGTTAATGATCGAAGGAATAAGATTATTGATAAATATTTTTAAAGCTACTACTTTTTTTTTTACAAATTTTTGCGATTGTTTTTAGAGGAAGCCGCCATTTTGTCAAACACTGAAAATATATCGATCATTGGTTTTATTTATCAATAATAATATAGCTTTTTCTTTATGGACTTGAAATGAATTTAAACAGAGAAATCTTTTTAACCCCCCTCAGTTGGCTTCCTTAATTAATGGAATCCTTTTTATTTCAAAACGAATCACCGATTATTAAATGTCATCGAAGTAAATTTTTAGGCGTTCTCACATGGCGCCAGAATTAAAACACTGTATCTAAAAATAGAACACATTTCGAACCATCAATAAAGCGGATATTTTTGGCTAGCTTGTGGAAGCTTTTTTAGTGACCGTGACTACTTTGAATATTTTTAGACAAAAGTCATGAACTTTCGCCTCTTATTTATATAATTTTTAGATATAAGTAAGCAGTAGTATACATATGTGGTGAAATATGTCGATATGACAATTTAGGTGCCATACAATTTAATTAGTCAAGTTTTGGTAATTTTATATAGCGAGAATTTAAGTCAGCTGATACAAAAGTATAATTTTAAGCGTGGAGTAGATTTGAAACTCTATTCTTTTACATAAATATAAAAAATTGCTTTATATTTGTGAACGTATCATATCATCGAAATATACATATATTATTAAGTATTAGCAATAATAGCATACAATCAGGCTCTGAACTTTACGCAAAGCTATAATGAACCCTAAAGGTTGTCATACAAAAATGTTTAACTGCTCTAAATTTTAAATGACTGTTTATGGCGTTTAACCTTATTTTACACGAAAAAATTGCCAACTTTCTTGGCGGTAGGCGCGCGTGACTTTTTGCTTGTCATGCGAAGTTATCGTAAATCCCTTCCTAACACAGTAAGCCATGCTACAGTATGATTTACTTATTTTCATACACAATTAATTATGTTTATAAATGTGTTTTAACATGTTTCACGATTCCGACAAAATTTTTGTAATATTATTGCCTACCTTTCGGCGCACAATTTAACCCCAACACTGCACAG